CCAGCCCCGGGGACCCGCGAGCACCCAAGACCTCGCCAGGGCGTGGGCAGCTGCCACTCCCACCTCCACTGGCACCTCGGCCCCCTCAGCCTGCCCTGTGCCTGCATTCTCCTCTGTGATAGACCCCACTCCAGACTCCGTTTGTGGGGGGACTTCAGTGTCCCTAAAACACTCATATGGGCACTCAAGCTCCCCTGGCCCTGGGGACCTCAATTCTCAGAGAGCTCAGGCAGGTCACTGGGATGAGTAAGTCCCCCTAGTTTTGTCTGTCACGGGCCTTGTCTTCCAACCCAGGGTCCAGCCCTGGGCAAGGCGTCCACCCACTGCAGCTGCAGTTCCTCGCTCGACCTTGACCGCCTCCCAGAGCAGCCGCCCGCTCCCACCCCCACCCTCGCCCCGGCCACTCCCGCGCCAGAGAAGACACTTCAGACTCCGGAGCTGCTCTTCTGCAATTCGGTGTTTTATTCTTTCCAAATCTCGGGCTTACGCACAGAATGGAAGAGCACTGTTAAAATAAAAAATGGACCTAAAGTGGCTTAGCTGACGTGACCAGCGGGCCACTGAGCAGTAGGTCCCGGGTCCCACCCTGCTGTGGAGGGAGTCCCTGGGCCCTGGGGCCTCTTGGCACTGGGTGGCCTGTGTGCACCCCAGGTGACCAGGCACCGGGACCCCTGCAGGGCAGAGCAACAGGGCAGGCGCCGGCCCTGGGGGGAGTGTCTCCAGCTGCCAGGCACCCGCAGCAGCCCGTTGTCCCCTCCCCGGCCAGCTGGTCTTGCAGCTCTTCTGGCAGAGCTGGGGGCAGAGCCCGCAGTCTTGTTCCCAGAGGTCTGGAGTTGCTGCAGGGGGTGTCGTGGTGCCTCTGTGCCTGATGACCCAGCCAGGGGCTCCCTAGCTGTGGCACCGCACTCAGAGGATCTGCTCGGTGCTGGAGGCTGAGATGTCCAGCAGCCGCCAGGCCGCGTAGGGGTTGAGCTCGTCCTGGTCTCGGCAGAGCGCCCACACATACAGCATCCGCAGCACCTTGTCCTGCAGGGTGGGGTGGGAAGGGTGCCGTTGAGAGGGGTGAGACAACCCAGGCGGCTCTGGGAGGGGCCAGGCTCTGTGGGGCAGGAGCCACCGGCAACCTCCCCCGGGGCTGGGAGCAGAGGCCAGCACAATTGCCTAGACTCAGGAACCACTCAGGCCTCGGTAAAAAAAAAAAAAAAAAAAAAAAAAAAATAAAGACGAGATGAAAAGCTGTATATTAGAACAAAAAAAAAGGTCTGCTGGTCTCCAACCTCCCTCAACCCCAAACTCTGGCCCAGGAGTTTCTCCGCATCCCCACCCAGTCCCAGGGCTTCGGGGCTCTGAGCTGGGGTCCCTGCCGGATGGCCACACACAGATCTTGGGGACAGGCGGTGCCGTCTGCCCGCCCCGTCCCGCTCCGCACTCACCGGGTCGCCCTCCACCACCTCGCCTTTAGGGTTCCGGACCACCATCACCAGCTGCGCCTGGAAAGTGATGATGAGCACCGGCCCCGGCTCCATCATCTTGCCCATGGCCAGCTGCAGAGGGGCCGAGAGGGGTGGGCCTCAGAGGACGGCCCTGCTGGGAGAAGGCTCCAGCACCAGGCCCTCCCCGTGGGCCCTGCCTCTCAGACCAGGCCCAGGCTTCCCTTGAGACCCTCCCCTGGGAGAAGCCCAAGACCTCTCGGATGAGCACATGGCCCCCAGCCCCTCGCAAGGCCACCTCCTGGGCCCTGTCTGGGCCATAGTTCCCACCCCTGATGGTGGCCCGGGCCCCTACTGCGAGAGGTGCTTACGTCAATGTTGTCAATGTCTAGGATGCGAGAATGGAACTGGAGACCCAGCGCCTTGGCCTGCTGGATGGGGTAGGCCAGCTGGCTGTAAGTCTGCAATGAGAGGCCGACGCGTCTGCGTGATGCCGCCAGGACAGGCGCCACGCCACACAGAGCCGCTGCCCACATGCCCTGGCGCCCTGCCGCCAGCCAGCAATGGCAGAGGCCAAGAACCCAAGTCCAAGTGGGAAGGCAGGTGCCACCCACTTACTGGCCCAGATCACACATTTCCCTCTCCTGGGAACCACACTCTATCCAGATGACCCAATGAAAACAGGATTAATCAGCAAAGTGGGTGATTCTCTTGGAACAAAATCCCAAATCCACTCCCAGAGCTAAGCTGGCGGCCCCTTGGCTGATCTTTAATACTTCCATATTCACCACACTCTGAATCTTGGCCTGAGATCAAACGCCTCTTCTAGGATCTGTCCTCAGCCCGAGGCTGCCTCTGTCACTGACCAACCCCCAGTGTCACCCTCAACCCCCTTGCGCCTGTGCCAGGCACAGGAAGCAGCCCCCAAGACACGTTTTCACTGGAGGTTTCTCTGGGCTTGGCATGAAACCATGAGATGTTCCGATAGCATCTACTTTTTATGGAAATGACTGATCCGCGGAGGGGAGGAAAAAAAAAACCCAGAGCCAATCCTACTTGTTCGGTTTCTTAAAGGTGACATTTTAAAAACACTTCTGTGGATGTGGCTGGAGCTTCAGCTGTTTCCAGGGCACCAGCAGCTTCCCGGCAAAGCGAGCCAGCTGTGGCGCAATGGTCCCAAGGTAAAAACAAAACAAAAAACCAAAAAAAAAAACAACAAAACAAAAAAAACACCAAAAAAAAAAAAAAAAAATCTACATCGAAACTCATAAATGCCTGCTGGATTAGTCACCATGCAGGGGAGTATTTAAAAAGAAAATCTGACATCTTCTCCTCTGCTTTTTCCAAGTTGTTTATGAGCTGGGTGCAGAATAGAATTAGCCAAGAAACATTCTGGATCGCTTAATACGAAGAAGCCGGGGAAAGAAACACACAGGTCGGGGAGCGAATAGGGTGAGATGAGGTGGCCTGAGGAGACGGGAGCTGGGAGCCCCACGGGGATGGACTGGGCCAGGGATAGGGAGGCTGCCAGGGATGGGGCAGACAGCTGGACCGGACCCCAGGTACGCGGTGCTGCTGGTGGCCCCCGAACCCCAAGCTTTGACTCCGAGAAGCAATTGGGGCCTCATCAGGACACACAGCTCCTTCCTGTGTGGGAAGACCATCGATGTTTTGTTTGGATCTATGTTTCAGGATCGTGTCGTGAGGACAGCTAATGGGTCCGAGAAACTCGGCAGGCCCTGGAGGCTCTCCAGGGCCTGGGGCGGGGCACCCAGTGCCATAACCTCACCTGCGCCCCCATAGGTGGCGGCCCCGGGTCACCGATGAAAGCTCCCCCCACCCTTCCAGGGGCTGTTTGGTTACCAGGGTTACCTCTGCGGGTTCCCTCTGGCCCGAGGCCAGCACTGCCCTGGTTTCTGTGATCACACTTCATTCTCACGACTCCTGGGAGGTGAGCACAGGACTCTGCTCTGGCCTGGGAAGTGGGGTGGGTGACGCCTTCAAACCCCACTTGGCTCCCAGCCCCCACAGTCATGTGGGAGACCCACACTCTCCCTGACCCCCTGCCCCAGCATGCACCCCAGGCCACTGCAGCCACCAGAAACAGGGCAGTCAGGCCCCCGAAGACCTCATTTTGCTTCACGGCTGCAATCACCTCTCCTGGGACTCTCTTTCACTAAAATTATTATTTCCTTTTTATTCTTTTTCCAGACAGTCTCGCTCTGTCACCCAGGCTGGAGTGCAGTGGCGCAATCCCGGCTCACTGCAACCTCTGCCTCCTGGGTTCAAGCAGTTCTCCTGCCTCAGCCTCCTGAGTAGCTGGGACTACAGGTGTCCACCACCAGGCCTGGCTAATTTTTGTATTTTTAGTAGAGATGGGGTTTCATCATGTGGGCCAGACTGGTCTCGAACTCCTGACCTCAGGCAATATGCCCACCTCAGCCTCCCAAAGTGCTGGGACTACAGGCGTGAGCCAACACGCCCGGCCTATCATTTCCTTAGTGACAGTGTCTTGCTCTGTCACCCAGGCTGGAGTGCTGTGGTGCGATGACTCACTGCAGCCTTGACCTCCTGGGCTCAAGTGATCCTCCCACCTCAGCCTCTCTAATAGATGGGACAACAGGTGCCTGCCACCATGCTTGGCTCATTTTTTTCTTTTTGGAGACAGAATCTTGCTCTGTTGCCCAGGCTGAAGTACAGTGGCACGACCTTGGCTCACTGCAACCTCCGCCTCCTGGATTTAAGCAATTCTACTGCCTCAGCCTCCCCAGTAGCTGGGATTACAGACATGCACCAGCACGCCTGGCTAATTTTTTTATTTTAGTAGAGATGGGGTTTCACCATGTTGCCCAGGCTGGTCTCGAACTCCTGACCTCAAGTGATCCGCCTGCCTCGGCCTCCCAAAGTGCTGGGATTACAGGCGTGAGTCGCTGCGCCCGGCCACTTGGCTCATTTTAAATTTTTTTTGTAGAGACAGCATCTTGCTGTTTCCCAGGCTAGTCTTGAATGCCTGGGCTTAAACGCCTTGGGCTGCTGGGATTGAAGGCATGGGCCACAGCGCCCAGACCTAACCAAAATTATTTTAAGATTGGACGCCCAGTAAAATTGGTGGCTTTGTGATCTCTCACAGGCCCAGGGGACACCCCCAGCCAGCCATCTCTTAGACACCAGCCCAGAGAAGGATTCTCCCTAACCGAGTTTACAGTCTGGGAGCAAAGGACTGGCGGGTGACCCGGTGTCCAGCCTGAGAGCCCAGATGTGTAACACGCTGAGGAATGGAAGGTCGGGGCGGGCGGTGTCAGGCTCCCGGAGGGTGAGACGTGAGGACCCGCCCACCAGGAGCCCAGGTCCTGCCTGTCGGGAGCTACCCTAACGAAGCCACCGAAATGGAACTTCTCCATGGTGATTTTTTAGGCCTTAAAAAAAAAAAAAAAAAGGCAGTACTCACAGCTTCATAGCACCAGTCTTTGAGAATGTCAAGCTCTCCAGAAATCATGGCCTAAAAAGGAAGGGGAAAATAAGCACCAGAACAAGAGTGGGCTTTTCAGGCAGCAGGCGAGGTCCCAGGAACATTCTCCAGTGGTGCGGGGGGTTTCCTTGGACACCCCCAGCTGCCACCTGTGGGGCACAGGTGGAGCTGTGGCACTGGGTGTCCCTCCCCAGGCCCGTCCCTGCTGGTGTGAGTGCCTGGCTCTGGCCTGGGCACAGGCGGAGGGCAGCCTGCGGATGACCACCCAGGAGGCACCCCGGGGGGGACCCCGTGGAACCGGAGGTCTGGCTGGGGTGGCTGGGGACCCAGCTTTCAGCCTGGTCAGGAATCCGAGCCAGGGAGATGAGGACCCACACTCCGGCTCCCGCAGTGAGCCCATGTCCTCTGTCCCCCGCGGGACCACGTTTCGGACTGCAAGGCCCACCATGGGACCGGCTGCCTCCTAACGGCTGGGGGCAGCGAGAGGGAGGGTGGGCTGCAGGGGGCGGGACTGGGCTGGGAGCTGCTTCCACAGGATCCCAGAGCCTGGGCCGGATCCGATGCGGGGGAGGGAGGCGCCTGAAGCGGGGAGAAGAGCGGGAAGGCGCCGGATGCTGGTGGTGAAAACTGTGAGCGGCAGGGGGCGGGTGGCCAGAACACTCGGCTCCCACCACCCAGCCCGGAAGGCGCTGCGTGCTCAGGCTGCTGTTCTGGGGCATGGCGCCCATCTGCACCGCCTCCCAGCCCTGCCTGAAGTGGCGGGAAGGATACGGGAAACTGGAGGAGGAAGGGGACGCTGGGCGGCGGCCAGCGGGGCCGAGGATGGAGAGTCCCATGAACGGCCTTCCAGAGGCCTGGCCCGACTGGGCCGAAGGTGTCCAGGCTCCTCCTGCATCCTGGGGGCTGCAGAGAGGCAGAGGCAGCAGGGAAGACAAGAGGCCGCCGACCTCAGGGAGAGGCTTGTAGGGGGCGGGCTGCAGCATGACGCTGAGCAAGATACCCTCATCTATAAGCCCAACGAGGGTCTGGTTGCCAGGGACGGCACCGTGAGGGAACCCCCTTGGCTGCAGGTCTGGGTCAGAGGTGGCCTGGGGCCAGCTCTGATGTCTGAGGACGGACGCCCACTTCTCCCAAGGGGCGAGGGGCTCCAGGCACCTGAAATAAACCCTAGACTCCAGCAGCTGCTCCCAGCAACCTCAAGGGAACAACAGCCTCAGGCAGGAGGAGTGAGGGAAACAGCACCTGGAGGCACTGGAGGTGCCAGGAAGGCCCAGGAAGGGCTTCGGGCATAGCTCGTGGGGCACCTGCAGCCAGGCAGGAGCCCGTGTGCAACCAGCCTCCTCAGAAAACAGCCTCGGCAGCGGAGTTCCCTGGCAGCACCCAGGGTGCCGACTGGGGCGGGGGAGGTGGTGGAGCCAGGACCTGCCACCTGGGAGGGCTCCTGGGGGCGCGGCACCCACCTCCAGGACATTGGGGATGATGTCGTTCTCGCACTGCTTCAGAAACCGGTCCTTGTCAAAGGCTGGGTCCACCCGGAGGATCTCTGTGAGAACCTCCGACATCTCCGTCTTGGAGAACAGGCCCCCTGCAGGGAGCGGAGCCGGGAGTTTAGGGAGGGCCAGGGACCCCACCCCACCACCAGCCTTCGGGGTCCGGGGATGACTCACTCACCCAGCAAGTCGGTGACCTTGTCCGTAAGGGCCCGGGATGCCCGGATGAACGCGTTGTCGCTTTCATCATACTTCATCTTCATCTCGAAGAACCCTGTGGATGACAGGGCAGGTGCTGGAGAAGGGGCCCCTTCCAGAAACACGCCCCTCCCTCACAGCTGCCAGGGGCTCTCTGTGGCCCCTGCGGGATCCACCCTGACGGGTGGGGTCAGGGAGGGGACGGCTGTGGGCCTGCATCCTCATCTGTGCTTGCGGACCGCTGCCTGCCCACCTACCTGGCCAGGCGCAGAGGCACCTCAGCTGCGGCCCTAGCGGGGCTGTGTAAGTTATGGGCCGCCACCCCGCTGGCTGTTGCTTTCACTACAAAGGAAACACAGGCCTCTAGCAGTCCGCACAGGACAAGGGACAGGGGCCTGCGGCTCATTTCGGGGCCCTGACTGTGCTTATGAGGGAACGCCTGGCTTCTGGCGGCAGAAGGTACACCGCACCATCAGGTGACTGCAAAGAAGTGACCGGCCCACTCTGACCCTGGCCGCCTCCTTTGCAAAATGGGGCTCTGTCTTGTGCCCAATGCAGGATCACCCTGCGGTCCGCCGACTGCCCGGGACACGGTCACCTGCCCTCTGAGACACCCGCACTCACGGTTAAACACCACGTTGTTCTCCTTGAAGTCCTTCCACTGCTGGTACCACTTGGAGTCCTTGTGCAGCACGACCCCCAGGGCCTCCCTGGGGAAGAGAGTGGGCGCTGGAGTGAGCGGCGGTGCCGGGGCCACCCTGTGCCCTCCTGTGGCTGCAGGGAGGGGCAGCAGAGGACAGCAGGCAGCTGAGACCTCAAACCTAGGGGCTCTGAGGACCCCGCCCTTACCTCTCACCCTCAAATTTGAGGGAGCCGGGAACCTTGGGCAAAAGGCAAACTCAAGAAACGGACCCAGGAGGGAACCATTGGTGGGCGCCCGAAAGAGACAGCAGTGAAAGCTGCCCAAAATGGGGGCAGCGAGGGCCACAGGCTGGCACCTACTCATTTGGCTCAAACACTTTCTCCTCCTTGAACTTCTCTCCCGCAAACTCCGTTCTCTTCCGGAGTCGCTGGGGCCTCCGGTAGGGCCCGGTCTGCCCCAGGACGCTGTCGTCAATTTCCTTCTTCACCGACTCCACCCCCTGCGAGGGAGGCACAGCGGGGCTGGGGTGGGTGTCTGGGGTTCAGCCGCCCCAGGCTACACGCCCTGGCCCAGGCCTGGGCTCACCTGGGAGAGGGCTCTGAAGGCCGCCGTCCTGCCCAGCTTCTCCCCACCTTTGGATACCGACTCGGCTGACTGCTTGGCTGTCTTGGCTGCTTCTTCCACACCCTCCTTGATTTTCCGACCCAGATCACTTTTACTGACTTCATGAAGGCTCTACTGAGACAGACACAGAGAGGCGGCATTGGCACCAGCCCCGAGGGCAGGGGGTGGGCAGAAGGAATTAATTCTTGCCAGAGAGAAGGGCAGATCTGGCTCCCTGAGGCCGGCAGAGGCCTTCTGTGCTCCTGTGGTGCGCGGAACCCCCAGAGCCATGAGAACACCGCCATGGCTTCCAGGGTGCTGGCCCCTGGGCTCTGAGTGAGACGCTGGGTCAACTGGCCCCTCTCCAAAATGGGGAGGAGTCCCCTGGAGACCCGGGAACTGCCTGGCAGCAAGGATTCCCAAGGAGGGGATCCCAGGGGACGAAGGGCGGGCAGGTCGCCCCATGCTGGACAAAGTTGGACAGAATAGGCAACAGGAGAGCCCGCAGCACCCCAGGAATCCTCGCTCCTGCCTCTACCCTCGGGAGGCGGTGGAAGCGGCCCCTCCCCTCCTATTTTTAGGCAGGAAAAACATTTTCATGTTCTCCTCGAGTCCTGGCTGGTAGCACTTACTGCTGCCGACTTACTGGGTCAACTGTCATGCAAGGTTGCCAGTCTGACCTCACCCTGCGTGTGCCCAGAACTCCTGAAACCTTCCCGAGGGTGGCAGCACGCCCCATGCCACCCACTGCTGCCAAGCCGCCCCCACCCAGGATCCCACTCTTCCTCCAGCCTCCAGCGGCCGGGGCACTTCGATGGCCCCAGCAGCTCCAGGCAGGCATGGCACTGTTACCTCCTTCACGGTGCCCGTCAGCTCCCCAAGCTTCTTCCGTAGCACCTCGCTCGTCCGCATGGTTTCTGACTCGATGGTTTTCTAGGTAAAGAGCATTGTGTCCTTTTTTTTTTTTCTTTTTTTGAGACGACGTCTCACTCCGTTGCCCAGACTGGAGTGCAGTGGCATGATCTCAGCTCACTGCAACCTCCTCCACCCAGGTTCAAGTGATTTTCCTGCCCTACCTTCCCAAGTAGCTGGGATTACAGGGCCCACCACCATGCCTGGCTAATTTTTGTATTTTCAGTAGACAGGGTTTTACTACGTTGGCCAGGCTGGTCTCACATTTCTAACCTCAAGTGATCCACCTGCCTCGGCCTCCCAAAGTGCTGGGATTACAGCCGTGAGCCACTGTGCCTGGCCAAGCATTGTGTCTTTAAGTCTGTGTGTTCTGACACGGCAGTGACATTTCTCTTATAGCCAAAGGTCCAAGAGGCATTTTCTCAACAGCCCCTCTGTCCCCGCACCTGCCAGCACGCGCTGCCTCCAGGGCCCCCGGCTGCCCATATGGCTTGGATTGAGGGTCTCCGCAACGGTGAGCTCCGTGCCCAGAGGCCGGCAGGCTTGGGTCCCTGCTTGGCAGCTACCACCTGAGAACAGGAGGCCCAGCCTTCGCCTTTCACTCAGTGGTAGGAGGTGGCCTTGCTTGTCATCACTGTGCCCCTCATCCAGCCTCCAGCCACCACAGCTTGGTCTTACGTCTCCCGCCCCATCCATCCCACTCCAAACTCAGCCTGCTCTGTCTTCAGATGACCCCTGCATTCATGATAAAGAAGGGCTGGGCATGTGAGCTGTAGTCCCAGCTCTTTGGGAAGCTGAGATGGGAGGATCACTTGAGCCCAGGAGTTCGAGACCAGCACAGGCAACATGGAGAGACCCTGTCTCTAGAAACATAAAAAAATTAGCCAGATGTGGTATCCCATGCCTTTAGTCACAGCTACTCAGGAGGCTGAGGTGGGAGAATCACTTGAACATGGGAAGGTCAGGACTGCAGTAAGCTGTGATCATACCACTGCACTCCAGCCAGGGTGACAGAGCAAGACCCTGTCTCAAAAAACCAAACTAGGCTGGGCACGGTGGCTCATGCCTGTAATCCCAGCACTCTGGGAGGCCAAGGTGGATGAATCACCTGAGGTCAGGAGTTCAACACCAGCCTGGCCAACGTGATGAAACCCCATGTCTACTAAAAACACAAAAATTAGCCGGGCGTGGTGGCACACGCCTCTAATCCCAGCTACTCGGGAGGCTGAGGCAGGAGAATCGCTTGAACCCAGGGAGGCAGAGGTTGCAGTGAACTGAGACCGAACCACTGCACTCCAGCCTGGGTGACAGAACGGAACTCCATCTCAAAAGAGAAAAACAAAAAACAAACAAAAAAAAAAACCACAAACTAAACCAAAGCAAACCAAATTCCACGGGTCCCGTGGCAGGTGCATCTCTGAGGCTCAGCGCTCACTGCTAAGATGGGACACGGTACCCGCCTCGCAGGGCCCTTACAAATAAAGGAACGCAGAGCCATTCCCAGAAGCCAGGGCTTGGCAGCTGCTCAAGAAGAGAAGTCACAATTAATAATCACAGGCTGGGAGCAGTGGCTCACACCCGTAATCCCAGCACTTTGGGAACCTGAGACGGGCAGATCACTTGAGGCCAGGAGTTTGAGACCAGCCTGGCCAACATGGTGAAGAAACCCCATCTCTACAAAAAGAAATACAGGGCTGCGCGCGGTGGCTCACGCCTGTAATCTCAACACTCTGAGAGGCCAAGGCAGGTGGATCATTTGAGGTCAGGAGTTCAAGGCCAGCCTGACCAACATGGTGAAACCCTATCTTTACTAAAAATACAAAAATTAGCTGGGTGGTAGTGGTACGTGCCTGTAATCCTAGCTACGCAGGAGGCTGAGGCAGGAGAATTGCTTGAGCCTAGGAGGCAGAGGTTGTGGTGAGCCAAATCGTACCACTGCACTCCAGCCTGGGCAACAGAGTAAGACTGTCTCAAAAAACAACAACAACAACAAATCAGCTCGGTGTGGTGGCGGCCGCCTGTAATCCCAGCTACCTGGGAGGCTGAGGCAGGAGAATCATCTGAACCCAGGAGCCAGAGGTTGAAGTGAGCCAAGATGGCGCCACTGCACTCCAGCCTGGGTGACACAGCAAGACTCCATCTCATAAAACAAAACAAAATGAAATAAAATAAAATAAAATAAAATAAAACAAAATAAAATAAAATAAAATAAAATATCAGCGCCATCACCCAGTTTCCACCCGGCTCCACTCAGAGGGCTACAGCTGGGAGCTCTCAGGAGTGCTGCAGCCCAAAGCTGGTGTGCATGAAGGGCCTGGGGGCCTGTGAAGATGCGGGTGCTGGCCTGGCAGTTTAGGAGGGTGTGAGCCTCTGCGCTGCTCATCCCCTCCCAGGAGCAGCCACTGCTGCTGGTCTGGGGACCATGCTTCAAGCTGTACAGAACGCTGCATGGTCGCATGGCAGAACCCAGAGGCCTGGAGACCCGCTCTGTCCCCTGGCTCCCTCTCACTAGTGCATCAGAGCAGTGACCTCACTTCCTCACAAGCCACCCTGTCCCCAGCCGTCCAGCTCTGAGCTCCTCTGGCTGTCCCTGGCCTGGAGAAACCCTGGCCCTGGAAACAAACATGTCAACCAAGAAAGGTAAGAAGCAAAGGGGCCTAATGCGGTGGCTCACGCCTGTCAACCCAGCACTTTAGAAGGCTTAGGAGGGCGGATCACTTGAGGTCAGGAGTTCGAGACCAGCCTGGCCAACATGGTGGAACCCCGTCTCTACTAAAAATATAAAAATTAGCTGGGCGTGGTGTTGCCTGCCTGTAATCCCAGCTATTTAGGAAGCTGAAGCAGGGGAATCACTTGAACCTGGGAGGCAGAGGTTGCAGTGAACCAAGATCGCGCCACTACACTCCAGCCTGGGTGGGGGAAAAAAAAGCAGCAAAGAAACTCACGTATTTCCTTCTGGCCTCCTGGAGCACGTCTGATTCTTCTAGCCTTCTGGCCTCGTCACGGAATTTTTTTATACTTTCTTTCATTTCTTTGTTTTTGGCTAATTCTTGTTTGACATTATCTAGCAAGCCGGACAGAAAGCCTTTTCTGTTTCCAGAAGAATATGATTTGGACTAGAAAGAATATACAAGAAAAAAAATTTAAAGAACATACTAGAAGAACATACAATGAACTGCCCCACAGAGGGACTCTGAGGGATTTTTCTAAATGTTCTCTTTTCTGTTGATATACATTTAATGATGATTAACTATCTCTTTTATAATAATAATAATAAAAGACAAAGAAACAGCAGGTGATAAAAGGATGTATATCCAGACAATAGGATATTATTCAGTGCTGAAAAAAAATGAGCTCTCAGCCAGGTGCAGTGACTCACACCTGTGATACCAGCACTTTAGGAGGCTGAGGAGGGAGGATTGCTTGAGGCCATGAGTTTGAGACTAACCTAGGCAACAGAGCACCCTATTTAAAAAACAGGCCGGGTGCGATGGTTCACGCCTGTAATCCCAGTACTTTGGGAGGCTGAGGTGGGCAGATTACCTGAGGTAAGGAGTTTGAGACCAGCCTGGCCAAAATGGTAAAACCTCGTCTCTACTAAAAATGCAAAAGTTAGCCGGGCATAGTGGTGTGTGCCTTTAGTCC